GTGAGATAAATGGTGACAAGTTTGTAGGCCAATTTGCGAACTAAACCGTCTAAAAGGCGCCACACACACACACACACACTTTGTTGGGCCATAACCAATCTCCTACGTCGTCGATGGCTCACACAATTAACTCCGCGGGGCTCCAAAAATAAAATGCAGCATGCTGCAGTTTCGCCTTCAAGTTGCATTTCACAGTTGACTGGATGTGGATCTAGAACTGTTGCCGAAGCTATGGCTATATAGCTGGCTATATAGCCTCATCCTAACGGTTCTGGCTTCTTAACTTTGGCTCACAGCGCTCGTCGTAATTTTCGCGCCATCAATTTGGAATTACTTGTAGCGCTAGTTCTGGGCGAATTACATGCTTCATTGGGCCTTTGCCGCCGATTGAAGATGATGGCAAACTCTCTTTGGGTTCGAAACCAGCCAGAGAGTCAGCCATCCAGCCCAGGCTGCCATCCAGCCCAGGTGCTCCATGACTGCTGGCCATGGAATGCAGCTGCGATTTTAGCATAAGTAGCGCAAATTGTATGCATTTCGAGCTAAGAGCGAAACGATGGAACGCCCCGACAATCGTTCGCTGCGAACGACGCAATTACCGATAAATGGAAGCTGGCTTTCATCCACTTAACGCTTGTTATGGCAGCTTTACAAAGTGTTGATTCGCCGGCACTGCAAATTAGATAACTGGCAGAGTGTGGAAAGGCAACTTATTATATAAGCTGATTACCCACAGGAAATATCTGAAGATTGCCAGCCAGTGATATCGATAGCCGGTGATTTTGGCTTTCGGCCATGGGTAATCTAATTTATTTAATTGGTCAATAAGTATGCAAAGTTGACTTGGAAATGAGAAATTTATTGAGAATTTGTTTATTAGTATTGATTTCTATAAAGATAAACATTTTATTAAGCATATAAATGACATTTTACATTGGTTTAAGACGTCTTTATTCAACGATTTTCTGCCTAAGCTGACTTTTCGATTGCAACTTGTAAGATTTCGCTGCTGACCGCTTCACCCTTAAGATTAATCCACCCTTAGCTGTGAAACACCAGCGAGTCACCAGGATCCACCTTTCAAAAAAGTAAACCCCAAGCAATCCAGGCAACCGGGAAGAAGAATCCAGCCATCCTCACGCTCCATTCTGGCCACAATTTATGCCTCGAAACGCTCCTTGAAGCGGGACACGCAACCCAGTCCAGTGCCAGGCCCCCGCATTCCTAGCACCCTAAGGGGCACTGTGAGGAAATAAAAAGGATAAAAACTGAAGCAGCAAACTGCATTCATCTGCTCACAATGCTCGCTACCTACCTACACAAGTACAAACAAACGATGGCGTGCCTCTCGGGATTCCAAATGGCAAGAACGGGGTCGGGATACTTGGCGTATACTTTGTGCCACGACTACTTTTTACTTTTCTTTAACATTATTTTGCACTTTTCAATTAAAAAAGTGTGCAGGGAGCCAGAGAGCCAGGGAGCCAGAGAACCAGCTAGCCAGGGAACCAAGCAGAACCCAGACCCGTCAGACACAAGCCAACAAACTACGGCAAAGGGCAAAAGTAACCCCAAAAGCGGTCGGTCGAAACACGCCGATGATGAGGGGGGAGGAGGCGAGTGGGAAAATAAAAAAATATAAAAAAAAATAAAACCAGCTGCCATAATTATAATTTCTTAATGCAAATAAAAACGCGCTGTGCTGATTTTTCGCTTTTGTAGAGAACCACAATTTAAACATTATGGACTTTTACTTGGACGCTTCGCATTCGCTCTTCCATTTGTGGCAATGCCCTATATAAACTGATAATGGGTCTACCCATGGTCTTTGTGCAGCTTCTGCAAGTTTTTTATTTTAATCTTTCTAGTATTAAATTGTTAAATATGGAGGTTTGTAAGATGATGTCATCAAAAAGAAACAATAAAGTATAGAAAGAAAGAAAATAAATCTTAGTTGGGATGTCTTGCTAGAATAAAATTAATAACAAAACAAAAAATATGATTCTGATTGTATATCCAACATGTTAACATACTTCTATACCTTGTAATATCTTACATAGATCAATAGATTTTCTACCTTTTTCAAAGCATTATATAAAGTTTAAGTACTTCGGAAAAAATCTTTTCAAATTTTTCAAATAACAATGGAAACTCTAACAAAAGGGTGTACCGTTTTCAACTTATCGCTCAGATATACTGCAATCTCACGGTTGTTTTTCTTTTTCTTGCGCATTGCCAAGGAAAGAGAAGGGTTAAAATGGGGAATTTTCCGCTGTTCCTGATTCAGAGTCCTGCTCCTGGTCGCCCACCGATGTTGACCATTGTGGCCATTGCAGTGCCAACAAACATGCATAGTTAATGAGCGAAATAAAAAGCTGTGGCCCCTTTGCCACACACACGTCGCACACAGACACACACAACGCACACTCACCCATTTGTAGTATACATTTAAGGACCTGGCTTTTCAGCGCCGTGCGCAATGAGCTTACGTGGCGTATAATTAATATTAAATGTTATACTTATAAATTAAATAAAATGGCGCAACTGAAGCTGGCTGGCTGCTCCTTCTTTCAGCCGCACGATTGATGACCTGGCCGTCAAGCAGCCAGTATATATATATATATATATCCCCTATATATATAGTACAAGGATCCTATGTACATATATGGGGATTTCTGTGTTTGTGGGTCCCATTACTATACGGGAACGAGTACGAGTTTATCCCCCGAGTTATAAATGTATGTTTGCCGAGTTTGACTTGCTACTTGCGCCACTTCCGCTGTGCGGAAAAATGCTTTTGATTTGATTTTCACCAAATGTCAACTTGACGTCACGTCGTTCTCGTCTGTGAAAAGGAAAAGCGGAAAAGCGGGAAAGCGGACGTCGTCGCTGTCGCCGCCTTTGTTGTGCCGATTCAACTGCATGATTTATTGTTTTGATGAAATTGCGTGTAAACAATTTAGTGGCTGGTTGGCGCCCAAAGCCCCAACTAAACTCCACCCCTAAAGTCTATGGACTTTTAAAAGACTTTATTTAAGGTTAAACATGGCAATATTTCATGGCCAGCAAACAAGCTAGAAAGTTGCATAGTTTTGAAGTTCTTGGCGGTGTTGTGGCAAAGACTATGAAAGATTTCAGGAAGCTAAGAATACTCTGATGATGGATTATAATTTGTTCACCATAGACAAGCCAAAAACTTTGTTAAAATATATAAGAGATACCTTTTAATATGATCAATATATAATATATATATCGATATTTATTGATATCAATAAGAGAGAGGCTTCAACTGAACACTTAGCCTTGTAAGTGAACCGCAATCGTAGTAAATATGGAAATGCCATTCAGAAAGTGCAGCCACAAAACCCACAAAGATGTCAAAAGAGATGGAGTCAGACCACACGAGCTCTCTCTCTCACTCTCTTTAGGGCGAGGGTGGAGAGCGGTAACCCCTTAGTTATGGGGCAGTTAAAGCTGCAAGTTAACCACAAAACTGAACGCAGCATCGTGTGCAATTCCGACTACCAATAAATATGCCATAACAATAAGCAAGGCGAGCTAATATCCGATTACTCTGCCCCGGCAAATGTGGCGTGAAAAGCGCCAAGCCAGGGCTAAGTCAAGCCAATACAGAGAGATGCTCCTTCGAATCCTTTCATTTTTCCCCCCCAACTCTCTTGCCATTTTCCCCGTATGAAACAAACGCATAAGTAAATACCAGAAACGAGTGACTTTCAATATCCTCACAGGCTTATTGCTTACAGCAAATTTCACGCCAGCAGACAGACAAATACGACGGAGCTGCGAATGCATTTACACATTTGCAAACAGAAACACAAACATCAGAGAGACAGTTGCAAACATGCAACATACAAATATGCGTATCCACTTGGAGCTGGAGCTGGAGCTGGAGCTGGAGCTGGCTGGATTCGGTTGCTGGGTAGCTGGACTGGGACTGGGATCGGTTCGGTTCGGTTCTCACCCAGTCATGTCTGAGTGCGTTCCCTACATCGCACAACCCACATCTCTACATCCCATCCAACGCATTTACGTTTATTGCATTTGTAAATTATTCACACAAGGATATTAAATGCAAATTGTGAAATAGACGACACACTCGTGCCGCACATGCTCCGCTCCACAGATACAATATCCGTTGATGCCCATGTATATATTGGCGAATTACTCAGCTCCTGCATATGATTGTCACATGCAAAAACGAATCGAGATTCTCGTTTTCCGTTTTACGTTTTCCGAGCTTCTGAATTCCAAATTCCCGCCTCGGGCTCTCTGGTTCTGTCGGCTTCTCGGGTCTTAGCATTTGATTTCCTTCGAATGCCATTTGCCGGAAGGACCTTTTGGCTTCGTTGGCCCCATGTGAGGTTACTTGGGTCGATGGCTGATAGTTGGTAACGCAATCTGACCACTTGATTGACTCTGGTACCCATTTGTGCACCTGCAATTCGATCCGGTGACCAGAGATCAAAAATTAATTTTATTAAAGCCTGAAGGACGACGAGCACTCTGCTCTTATTTATTCGTTTTCCATTACCTGATTACACTCTGAACCCGGAATGGCCGGAAAAGGACACTCACTGGGAAAAGTGGCCAGAACAAGTTTGACAGGGGGAAAAAGTTTAATTTTACTAGCAAATTTCACTCGCATGCAACGATGCCTAAACACGTTTGACATTACTGCTTCTCCATGACGATGTGTGGACAAAGTTTTGGGTGCCGGAGAGCGTAACATGCAAATCGAATTTAAACTTGCCAACAAATATTTGAAGGCCATCTGGCTGGAGGGCTAACACCTATCTAGTTACATTACCAAATCGTCTATTCAGAACTGCAGCACCTGTCGTTGGTAAATCAGTAAACAGTGACAATTATTTGACAATTATTGGCACTTAACAGCCTGGCACTTTTACTAATTGTTCCCACTTAGCACCTTTACAACCTATAAAAGACCCTTGAAATTGGTCTAAGCCCAAACAGTTAACATGTTCAGAGTTAAGGATCTACTGCTCTCACCGGAAACCTTCGATGGTCCCATTTTTAGAACCCATCTGCGTTGCTTTCGCTGGTATGGCTATGTGGCATCTAAGGATCAGAAGAAACCTTGGCTCAGTCTCCTTCGCTGCACCATTTTCACTGCCTCCATTTGGCTAAGTTGCGCTTTGATGCTGGCCAGGGTTTTCAGGGGCTATGAAAACCTCAATGATGGAGCCACGAGCTGGGCAACTGCTGTCCAGTATTTTACGGTGTCCATTGCTACTCTAAATGCATACGTTCAGAGAGATAGTAAGTATCTTTAGGTATTTAAATATTTTACTTTACTTATTTTATAGTAACTTAAGGAGTAGTAAGACTTCTTCGAGTAGCTCACGAGGATATCCAGAACCTAATGCTCGAGGCAGATGATCAGGAGATGGAACTCCTGGCTGCCACTCAGGCTTATACCCAAACCATTACTCTGATCCTTTGGGTGCCATCGGTTATTGCTGGATTGATTGCCTATTTGGACTGCATCTACAGGACCTTGTTTCTCCCAAAATCAGTTTTCAATATGCCAGCAGTGAGTCGAGGTGAGGAGCAACCCATTCTACTATTTCAACTTTATCCCTTTGGAGAAATTTGCGATAACTTCGTGGTGGGTTACCTGGGACCCTTGTATGCTCTAGCCTTGGGAATCACTACTATCCCGCTGTGGCACACCTTTATCACTTGCCTCATGAAGTATGTGAACCTCAAGCTGCAAATTCTTAACAAAAGGGTGGAGGAAATGGATGTTAGTATACCTAATTTTATTTTTAGGAATATATTTGTTATACATTTTTGACTTGGAGTAGGTTAGAAGACTGAATCCCAACTTGGTAATAGAACGTTTATCATCCAGCGACTTAACCTTTTGGCGATTGCAACTCTTCAAGGAGTTCGTAGAGGAACAGTTGAGGATTCGCAAATTCATTCAAGAGCTGCAATATCTCATTTGCGTGCCTGTAATGGCAGATTTTATAATCTTTTCGGTTCTTATGTGCTTTCTCTTTTTTGCCCTAACAGTTGGTGTAAGTTTCAGCTTAGATATATAATTTTGTATTTAATTTTGAATATATACCTCCTTAGGTTCCCAGCAATATGGACTACTTCTTTATGTTTATATACCTCTTTGTGATGGCTGGCATATTGTGGATGTACCACTGGCATGCCACATTGATTGTTGAATGTGTGGGTATTGTATATATAGAAGTTAAAGTCATTCTTAAAATAAAACAAACCTTTCAGTCTTGTTTACCATAAAAAAGAGATGGTTTCACATGTCTGATGAAACCATATCAGTTCAGGAAAAAAAGCCAAGCCTATTTGACAATATGCTCTTGCAGAATGATTTTTGTTTACTTCCTTTTCGACCATTTTAAACTTCGATTGCCTTTTTTCAGCACGATGAATTGTCCCTTGCTTACTTCTCCTGTGGCTGGTACAACTTCGAAATGCCTTTGCAGCGGATGCTGGTCTTTGTGATGATGCATGCCCAGAGGCCAATGAAGATGCGCGCTTTGCTGGTCGATCTGAATCTAAGGACCTTCATCGACGTAAAAAGGTCCTAAAAACTAAGGCATTCAACGATTTCTAAACTTCTCGTTTCTTTTACAGATTGTGCGTGGAGCCTACAGCTATTTCAATCTGCTGCGTAGCTCCCACTTGTATTAGACGGAAAAGCCTCTCCTAGGGGCTAATCAAATGCCGTTGCGCTTGTCAACTCGTTTGGCTAACATGACAGTAAACAAGCCATGCAATTCATTTTGCCCGGCACACACTCACAAAAACCTAAGGAAACGGAAAGTCAGAAGGGGAGGGCTATAGTCAAATGCTAAACCATTTTACAGCGCAAATAAACGTGGCTCAAAGTGAAGAGACAACGCCTGCTACTCAAAAAGCCAATGCAAGTAACGGGCGACATCATTTATCACTTGAGAAACGTCGCATGTCACTGGCATTGTATGTGTGTTTTGTTATATTGTCTTTCTCAATGGATATAAAACGATTTTTGCACTTCTTACCCACCAAGCCAACCGAACTACCCGCCCCTGGCATTATTTCCCTGCCGTGCCTCTAATTGTCTTGGGGGTTTTAGACAAAGGAAATTTATGCGTCTGCCCCAGCAAAACGGTCAGATACATCAAGCCACCACCACCATCAGCGAAACTAACCAAACCAAACAAACCGAATCGTTGTCCCCCTGGGTGTATTTTTTAATATTATTAAGAGTATAGACAAAAAAAAAAAAAAAAAAAGAAGTGGAAAGTAAAAACAACCCGAGTACCCACACCCAAATAAACACGCATTTTGTTGCGGTTGTTGTGCTCCCTGGGATTACACAAAGTGGCTAAATGGCTGATAAAGGCACACGCCGAACCTCGGCTACTAATGAGTATTAATGGCAGGGTTACGTACGCGGCAGGTATACCAAAAAACCTGGGCATCTATATATAGAAAAAGTCCTTGGAGGGTGACAAAACCAGAGGGTCACAGATAGTTGGTTAACAGCGTGAAAAGGGTTGTTGGTGAGCCACTCGATTGAAATCTCCCTTTCGAAAAAGAATGATACCGAAGAATGCGGCTGATATATGAGATACAACTCTTTTTGTATAACCGCGGCATCTGTAGTTCACATTTGTTCAAATAAACAAACAAAATGTTGAAAGGGTTGATGGCTTACCTTTTTTATGTGTCACTTTGGGGTCATTTTGTAGTACTAAGCTATGGCTAAATAGGTAAATATTTTGAAAACAAACAAATCTGAGTCATAGTCCTTTCAAAGGGAGTTCTTCCAAGATTACTAATTTTAAACTTAGCAGTCTTTAAGTTTACGTTTCATTAGCTAAACGAAACTAATTCAAGACCCATTCATTCTTAATAAGAATTCGTTGTCAAGAGTCATTTATGTATATTTTTAGACCACATCGAAATATAGAATTTGGTAAAAATAGAAAACCACATGGCATTTGGCATAGCGAATTCCTGGCATCTGTTGCCGGTATTTTAAGCAATATTGGCAAATTTTTTATGGTTTTCACTGGGCACGTTTTTTGTTGATTATTTATGACATTACATACATAATGCAAGCGTAATGGATGCGAGTGTTCATTAAGCACAATGAATGTCATGCACTCCGTGTGTGCCAACCCTCGTCCCTCAAGAGGAAAATGCGTTGGGAGCCAAAGTGGGTATGGTAAGTGAGTGTGTGTGTGTGTGTGTGCGCCACCCTCTTTGGGTTTTGCAGTTTTGCGAAAAAATTAAAATTTGCTGCACACATGTAATGAATATTTACAATACACTGCTGCCCTACCGCCACAAAAGAAATGAATTCAAAGGGAAAGCGATTCTTGGAACGAGGCCACAAAGGAAAGCCCCCTTTAAGGAAGCGAAAAAAAAACCCACTCATTTCTTTAAGGGTGGCATACAGAAGGTGAAGCCAAAGAATGGTCGTATGTTACGATTATGCGTAGTCATATCTGCCAAGCCAGAAATTGACTTCTGTGAATGCAGATTTTCTGGAACTTAACAGACTGACACGCAAATTGGTAATCCCATTAAAATAATGTTTCCCATTCAGTTAGCTATTTCAACTTTTAACTTAAAAATTAAATAATCGCATAATAAAATTCATTTTCTAGGAATGAGGGAAACCCATTTCGTGGAAATATTTTTATTTATTCAGCCATTTCTGTATATAATTTCAGTTTTTTCACTTAAATAAGTGGGTGTACGTTTGTTGCGCTACCAAAGCTCTCCACTTTGGCCAACTAAGTGTTTTGCCATTAAACATTTACGATGGCACAGTTAAGGCAGCACACACGCGTGACTTGGCCAGCTGTTAGGTGGAATAAAGATGGTTATTAAAATTAATTAACGCACGGCGATTTGTTGGCCGGCGTCATAAAGCGAAATGAAGTTGTAGTTAAATTTTGAATGCATTAAATTAATCATAAGCAGGTCGCTTGCCCATCTGTTGGCCGGATATGAGCACTCGAGCTTGGCCAAAAAGGGCTGCAGTTGTCGCCAGAGGACCAAAAGGACCAAAGGGCGAGCCCCGCCCTGAATATCATGCACATTTAAATGCAACTGATTAATCATGGATAAAGTTGTTCTGCTGCTTCCTCTGCTGGTGCTGGTAGTGCTGCTGCCTTTGGTCACGTGACTGCAAACAATTTGACTTCAAACACATTAACAGTTACGGTTGGACAAAAACCGGCCAGAGGAGAGCCGGATAACTCCCGGGGAGCAAATATGGGTCCTGCACGCAGAGGGTTTGTCACCAGCAACAACTTAACTTGGCTAACTAAAACTTTTCATGCATTGCCGTTGACAGTGCAATAAACATGCCAAAACAAATGCAGCAGCGACATCAACAACAACAATGCCAACAACTTATGAAAACAACAGCGTCAACTGACCCGCCCCCACCACACCCACGCCCTTATGACATACTCAGGGTTAGGGAGCTACCCCTTTGAAAATAGACACGTAAGCCATTGAAATATTTAGTCACTGGGGAGATGGGGAGTCGAGAATAGTTCGACGCCTCTTCCAAGAATTTCAAAGGAGGCGAAGCAACTCGACTGATTTATGAAGTTTCCATTGACATTGGAATTTTTACGGGCACCAACTTTACTTCGGCTACCGGAAGTACTGCAAAACTAAGATCAAAGTCAGAAATAAAAAATAAATAATTTGTAAACAATTTATTATTAAATAGTTTTAAATACTTACTTTTTAAGTTCCTTTTCCTCAATGTACATAGGCAAGCAGCGGATTAGTTGGCGATTATGAAACACTTTTTTCCACAGCTGTAATCATAAAAGAAATATATTTTACTTTGTTTAAAATTCACTAATATTTTTGTTGAAATGTAAATGGTAGAAAATGTAAATAAAATCGAAGTCTATACGTTCTTTACTTATTCCAAATGCTAAGCTATTTTGGGACTGAAATACAGAGTATAAGTTAACAAAAAGCTACACGGCATTTGCCAACGACCATACCACGCTGAATACATCGGTTCTCGTCCGATCACCGAAATTAAGCAGCGTCGGGCGCGGTTAGTACTTAGATGGGGGACCGCTTGGGAACACCGCGTGTTGTTGGCCCCGATAAAATTTTTTTTTGGTTTCACCAAAAATTATTTTTTTTAATTGTAAAAACAATTTTACTTAAAATTTTTTTTTAAGACGTGGATTAGTTGGCGATTTTGAAACACTTTTTTCCACAAGTGTAATCATAAAAAAAATATATTTTACTTCACTACCATTTTCGTTAAAAAGTAAATGGCAGAAAAGGTAAATAAAATCGAAGTACATACATTCCTTTACTTATTCCAAATGCTAAGCTACTTTGGGACTGAAATACAGAGTATAAGTTCACAAAAGCTACACGGCATTTGCCAACGACCATACCACGCTGAATACATCGGTTCTCGTCCGATCACCGAAATTAAGCAGCGTCGGGCGCGGTTAGTACTTAGATGGGGGACCGCTTGGGAACACCGCGTGTTGTTGGCCCCGATAAAAATTTTTTTTTGGTCTCATCAAAAATTATTTTTCTTTAATTGGAAAAACAATTTTACTTAAAATTTTTTTTTTTAAGCCGTGGATTAGTTGGCGATTATGAAACACTTTTTTCCACAGCGGTAATCATAAAAAAAATATATATTACTTCACTACCATTTTCGTTAAAAAGTAAATGGCAGAAAAGGTAAATAAAATCGAAGTACATACATTCCTTTACTTATACCAAATGCTAAGCTACTTTAGGACTGAAATACAGAGTATAAGTTAACAAAAAGCTACACGGCATTTGCCAACGACCATACCACGCTGAATACATCGGTTCTCGTCCGATCACCGAAATTAAGCAGCGTCGGGCGCGGTTAGTACTTAGATGGGGGACCGCTTGGGAACACCGCGTGTTGTTGGCCCCGATAACAATTTTTTTTGGTCTCATCAAAAATTATTTTTCTTTAATTGTAAAAACAATTTTACTTAAAATTTTTTTTTTAAGCCGTGGATTAGTTGGCGATTATGAAACACTTTTTTCCACAGCTGTAATCATAAAAAAATATATTTTACTTCACTACCATTTTCGTTAAAAAGTAAATGGCAGAAAAGGAAAATGAAATCGAAATGATACGTTTCTTAAGTTATTCCAAATGCTAAGCTATTTTGGGACTGAAATACAGAATATAAGTTCACAGAAAGCTACTTGGCATTTGCCAACGACCATACCACGCTGAATACATCGGTTCTCGTCCGATCACCGAAATTAAGCAGCGTCGGGCGCGGTTAGTACTTAGATGGGGGACCGCTTGGGAACACCGCGTGTTGTTGGCCTCGATAAAAATTTTTTTTTGGTCTCACCCAAAATTATTTTTTTTAATTGTAAAAACTATTTTTTTAACATATTATTTATTTGTTAAATCTGAGTACTGTTTAAAAAATATTTAATATATAATAAAAAAAAAAGAAAAAAACAAACTGTACTTCCCATACCGGGAATTGAACCCGGGCCTTCCGGGTGAGAGCCGGATATCCTAACCACTAGACAATATGGGATGTGACATACGACTGCACAAAACCAAATGTTAGATACGAAAAAGTTGTCAGAGACCAAACAAGGGAATAATCATTTTTAAAACTAAACTTAAATTACATACTCTTAGCCTCTTAGTGTCTTACACTTGTAGCATAACAAAAAACATCATTTGCCTTATGTCAATAAAAAGAAATCATAAGGTAAATACGTGCATTTTTAAATAATGCACAATTCTGGTTTTCAATTTCTGATTTAAAACATGTTAAACATTTTGTGAAATAAAAATTCCATGATATTTCAGATCAAAAATTGTAAGATTTTAATATAATAAAAAAACAAACTCAGCAACGAGTTTCCCATACCGGGAATTGAACCCGGGCCTCCCGGGTGAGAGCCGGGTATCCTAACCACTAGACAATATGGGAGGTGTCTGAATTCTTCGTAAAAGCGTATTTCACCTAATGAATTGATGAAAATTCAAAGGCTTAAATGAAATCCATAATGAAAAAACTATACTGATGCAACAATTTTAATTCTGGTGAAATACTTAAATACAATATAAAATTTGTTTATATATACATATGTATGCACATATAAACATATCCCAAGCAAACACTTATCTCTTTCAGCATTCAAAGGGTATGTTTCACAACATCAAATGATTAATTAGTTAATTAACACCAAACTTTGTTCCTATTTATATGAAAATTTATATTTAAC